GCCTTCCAAGGACCTAGGATCCTTTATCCTCACTGGGAGGGGTCATCTTGATTTCCAACCTTATTGGCTTTAGAGAGCTAGGAGATCAGTTAAGGTACACTTCCGGGTGTGTCCGGCTGAGTTACAGGGGAACCTTGGGGCTGTCTCTGGTCCCTGCCCCTTCTTTTCTGGCTCTTTCCAGGGTACTTCTGGGCTGCTATAAGGTGAGAGCTTTCCTTGCCAAGCCCTTCCTCCATGACATTCCTACCTGGGAGCCAGCTGACCAGGGACTGAACCCTCTAGAGCCATGAGCCAAAATGATCCTCTCCTCGTTTAAACTGAGTGTGTACGATACTTGTCTCAGCAACAGAAAGCTAATGCAGCCCCTATCATGGCACAGCAGTGATCTGTATTATATCATCTGCGCATCTAATGGTTAATTTTCTGTGTCAGTTTACCTGGGCTTGGGGCACCAGGTTAAGCATGATGTCAAGGTGTACTTGTGAAGATGTTTTTGGACGATACTAGCATGGAACTAGCGATCAGTGAATAAATTGCACTCCCTGGTGTGAGTTAGTATCGTCCAATCCATTGGGAGCCAGAATAGGACAAAGGTTAGAGGGAGCAAAGAGTCAGCCTTTTTGCTTCCTTCCTGCTTGAGCTGGGACTTGACACCTCTCCTCGGCCTCCCCTGGGATTCATGCCCCTGGCTCACCCAGCTCGCAGGCCTTTACATGTGGACCAAATTACGCCAGCAGCTGTCCTGAGTCCATGGCTTCCAGCGAGCAGACCGTGACTTCTCAGTCTCCAGATTTACGCTGACCGATGCATCATAATAAATGTCGAAATCTAAAGTCCTGCTAGTTTTATTGGGCTGGCTAACACAGCTCACACTGACCCTCCTCCTCCCAACAATATTATTTTTATCTCAACACTTATGCATAATGTACGTAGCAGGGATATTATTACATTTACCACCATGCTTACCATTTCATTGCTGTTGCTTTATTTCTAAACTTGCAGATTTCCTTTTGTATCACTTTGCTTCAGACTGGGGAACTTTAGCATGTGTGTAGGGCAGATGTGCTGGCAAAAACTTTCTTACTTTCCTTATTCTGAGAATCTCCTTTTTTTCCTTTATTCTTGAAGGATATTTTTCTATCCTAGACATGGAATTCTTGTTCTTTGTGTGTCACATAATTTGGGATTGTGCTGTGGGACTTCTGAGTATGAAACTCTGGATCCCGTTAATCCTCCGGGTAAGATTATTTTTGCTTTATCAGTCAAGGAACTTGATTAAATTTGGACCACAGTTTCTGACTTTCCTCCACTGGATGATGTTTTCCAGTGTCCATTCAGAATTGAAAGCCTTTGATAAGCTTTTTGGACCTGCTTTTCGGTGCACGTGACTCAGAGCTGGGCCTGGAGCTGGGATTTCTGTCACGGTTCTAAGCCTCTGCTGTGCTGCTTTGGTTGGGTCTGGTGTGTGCACAGCTGGGGTGGTGAACCCCGGACTGCGTCTGAATTCCCAGCATAAGTCAGTCCTGCTTGAGCCTTTCTTCTCTAGGATTTCCTTGCACGTTTCGTATTCCAAGAGCCCCTTTTCCTATTTTTCTAGCCAGAAAAATGGAGTTCTCTCAGAGTTCTGTCTTCCCATACAGTTGTGCGATTCCATGCCAACACTTGGGCCAAAGTGGCAAAAGCAAGAGAAAGAAAAATACTCGGAGTCCCCTCACATTCTGCAAATAGAATTCCACCTAATTCTCTGAGATTTGCATTTGGGACTCAGGTAACCTTGGGCAGATATAGAAGAGAAAAGAGGAAAAGCATGTAGATTCCCCCGTGCTCTCTGGCTCACTGATGGCCACGTTCTCATTTCTCATTTCTCCCTGTGTCTACTGCACATCCCCTTTATCAGGCCAAAAGGTAAAAAGAAGGGAAAAATAACAGGGAATTCACACTTCCTTACTGGTCACTCCTCAACTCTGGCTTACCTTGTGTCTGCTTATTACTCCTACAATCCACAAGTAGTTGCTTTTTGTGCTTTTCACAGAGCTTTTAGGTACTTGGTAGAGAGTAGGCTACAATGGGCTTAGCTTCCCTTGATCACCACCTGAAGTTCTTTCCTCCGATTTTGAAATGCTGTTCTTTGGGCCTCTACTTTCTATGCATGGGGAATGTCTTAGGGGATTTAAATTTTTCATTGATTTAATTTGTGTGGTGATTGCCAGGTGCTTTTTTGCTGTTTCTAAAGCCAGTAGATTACTAAATAATAAAAGTTGTATTCGATGTAAGAGAAAAGAATAAGGAAGAATGATTATGGACCATTCCCACAAAGAAATGTACAATTCAGTTGGGCCATATAGTTTAAAAATGACAGAAAAACCATAATAGAATAGTATTCTATGAAAGTGCCATAAATGTAATCTGAATGAATTACTAAAGATGTTCAGAGAGAAACGAGATCAAGAAAGGCTTTGTGGACTCTGGCTTTTGAGCTGACCTTGAATCCCAGGTAGGACTTGAACATGAAGGGACAGGAAGAGGTGGATTTTGGACAAAGAAACAGCATGATCACGGGTGTCGTGGCAAAAAAAAAAAAAAAAAAAAAAAA